TAAGGATAAGGTGTGTACTGTTAGAACCAGCTCTGCACTTTGCTGAAACATGTATTCAATTAAGTATGAGCATTTTAGGAAAGAAGTGAAGAACATACTGGTAGATAAATGATACATAGGACTTGATATAGGTGACATATGCACACATGCAATCTCATTCTTATTAACTGATGTCTATTTTCTTAACAGACACTGTGCCAGGAGACTCAAGGCTGTATCTATTGTAATGCAAATGATACATGTCTAGCCATCTTCCAACTTTGTGATGGAACACAAGACTGTCCTGATGGAAGTGATGAAGCTAATTGTGCTGACAGGGTAAATATGTTGATTTGTTTCCATTTTATTAACAATAGATATAGATTTATATGTAGAAAAACGTCCTTTTGCCTCACTTAATTAACGATAGATGTAGGTTTACGTATGATAATATGTTTTGCCTCACAGGGACATATAGATCAATGTATGATCTTTTAATTGTTTTATATATTCCTATTGCATACTACATGTTTTGGGTGCATTAGGTGTATTTACCATTGAAGGAAATATATTGAGAAATATTTGATTCTTGTTATGAGTGTTAACAAGCCAGTTGTCTTGCTGAAAGTCTGTATGCATTGCAGATCAATAGATAATTTGAGATATTTTATTTGTTATATTGTTAGGATTGTAGGTATTAATGCATACTATACTTACAAATTGTTGCATTGCATATTGAAAATTGAAAAAATAATATTTAGTTGCATCCATTTTAAGTAGTTCAGCATTCAAAATTTCTCAGGAAGTGATGACTAAGTGTTAGAATAATTTTTGTATCATATGAAAATTTGGTTTCCAGATCTTGCAAGGTTGTGGTCCTGATGAATACATGTGTATTAGGACCAGAGAGTGTATTCCCCAGAATCTCAAGTGTGACGGAAGTGAAGATTGCCTTGATAAGTCAGATGAAATTGGATGCGGTGAGTGCATGTTAAACTTTTTCCCATATCATTTAGTTTTATTCACAGTAATTTTTGTTGTGTAGTCTGGTATTTGACTATCTTAAAAGTGATGTTACAGCGGTATTTAATACTTTGTCCATTCATGTATTGTGTTCCTGGCTACTGTAGAAGCATTATTTTCTTGTTTATCATCATTCTAATTTTTATGTGCCATAAAGAGTGCCATAAAGAGATATACTGGTAACAAGATGAAGCATCATGTTTTTAAGGATAAGACCCATGCATTTCAAAATCCAAATTACCTGCTTCTAAATTATTTGTATAATTTTCTAACATGATTTTGACAAAATACAAAAATGTGTGGCAACCTAAAGAAAACAATCCCACAGGAAGTGTCAAAACACATATGCTGTATTCAGGTCATAGAGGCTAATATGTTGTAAGGACTAGAAAAATGCATTGTATTTGAATGAATTTTAAGTATATTACAATATTTTGACATTTTACAGATACGATTGAATGCTCCCGCAGTGAGTGGAAATGTGCCTCTGGAAATGAGTGCATTCCAGACATGTGGAAGTGTGATCAACAGAATGATTGCACAGACAAATCTGATGAAAAAGACTGCCCAGGAGTTCCATTAGTGTGTCCGGTTCCTGGCCATTTATGTGATAATGGTTCTGTGTGCTTACAGCCAGTTGAACTTTGTGATGGCCACAGACATTGTGAGGATGGTTCTGATGAAGGCGGTCGATGTGGTTAGTAAACACTATTGATCAGTAATTTGATGCTGGAGTATATTAGATTCTTGCCTACTGATATGCATCTTGCAGATAAGCCACTGTTCTTCTTAGGGATTCATATTTTTCATCATCTACTGCAGGTGCTCATGATTGTGAACTGATGGACTGTCATGAAGACTGCAAGCAAGGCCCAGGTGGACCAATATGTGTATGTCCTGAGGGGCAGACTCTCTTGCCTGATGGCCGTATGTGCTCTCACCTCCACCCCTGTGAACGGTGGGGGACATGTTCACAGCTGTGCACACCGACTAAGCATGGACACAAATGTTCCTGCTTAGATGGGTATGGATTAGAACCTGATGGTTTTACATGCAAGAGTACAGGTAATTTGTGTGTCTTTTTGTGTGATTTGATACTTTAAATCTGTAGCCAATTAGAAGTGATACTGCAGTCCATGGATTAAACTTTTTTCTTTTTTTTCTAGAGGTAGTACCTGTATATAATTTTCTGTAGAACTAATAGTATTTCTCAATCATATGCCATGCTTTACCTACAGATGCTGCCATTCCATACCTCATCTTCAGCAACCGCCATGAGCTTCGAAGCATAAATCTCAAGAATGGCATGGAGGTCAAAGCTCTTATTTCTTCCTTGAAGAACACCATAGCTCTTGACTTTTTCCATTCTGATGATGGAGATGTTATTTTCTGGACGGATGTTTTGGATGATAAGATTTACAGGGGTACTATGCTAGCTGGAGGTATGTGCTTTGCTTTCTTTCTTTCTCTGTATATATTTTCCTTCTCTGGGCTTTATCAGGGTACATGGTAGTAGCTGCTAAAAGATGTATGATTTTAATTTTATTATGGATGGTATTCTCAAAATGAAGAAAATATGCAAGCACAAATAGTATTCGAGTTGAAGTTAATTTGTACCCATTTTCTTCAGCTTTGTCAAATATTGAAGTGGTGGTGCAAACCGGCCTCGCAACGGCAGAAGGCCTTGCTGTTGACTGGATAGGAGAAAACCTGTACTGGGTGGAGAGTAACCTCAACCAGATTGAAGTTGCCAAACTAAATGGATCATATCGTCGCACGCTCGTCACGTCACGCATGGAAAGTCCACGGTCCATTTCCCTAGATCCTAGAGATGGGATAATGTTTTGGACTGATTGGGAGGTAAATAAGTTTGAAGTGGAGGTTATAATCATATGCCTTATTGTATGGAAGTATCATTATGTACATGCTTGCCCAAATAGACACCACACCACAACGTAACATGCCCACATCACATCAGACCACACTAAACTGACATCGCACCACACCACACCACACCTCATCACACCACACCTCCTTACACCATAACACATCACACCATAACACACTGAACCATGCCACACCATCCCACATCACTCCACACTTCACCACCTTCACCTACATATATAAAGGATTTTAAATATTTCTTATTCAATACTTTCAGAAAAGCAAAGCCAGGATTGAATCATGCAGTATGTCAGGGGAAGGCAGACGTGTCGTTATCATGGTGAGTGAGCTACCTGGCAGCGGCTGGCCAAATGGACTCACTCTGGACTATGCTCTGAGACGTATCTTTTGGATTGACGCCAAATCGGACTCCATCCATACATCCAAATATGATGGCTCAGACCACAGAGAGGTAATTTGATATAAGAAGCATAGTTATGAAAAATATAATGGTTCATTTATTTTATCTGTGTTTTTGACATGTTTTTATTTTTTATTTATTTATTTATTTATTTTTTTATTTATTTATTTTATTTTTATTATTATTATTTTTTTGAGAATGTAAGAAAGTATAATAGGAAGTATACCAGTAAATTGGAATCTTATTTATATTAAACTTTCAGTTGACCAGGAACAAGAATCATGTTTATAAGACTTTTCATCATTTGAAGGCTCTAGTGTGATGTTTATTAAGATTTCATCAAATCATTTATGACATTTCAGATTCTCCGAGAGCATCGACTACTTTCTCATCCTTTTGCGATCTCATTATTTGAAAACTATTTATACTGGACAGATTGGAGAACAAACTGTGTAATTAGGTATGGAAACTTTGTATAAGCAGTTTCTCTATTTTAATGAATTATTATCCTTTTGTGTGAGGTGTATTGTATTAGATAAATTAATTTAGATATCTGAATTTGGAATAAGGGAAAACTTGACAAACAGGATTCATGTAATATGTAATGTGCTTCATATAACGTTAAGATAGTGCTTCACTTCTCTACCTTTGTATTACTACATATGATAATTTTATTAACACAGGGCAAATAAATTCAATGGATCTGATATCTATGACATTCAGCGTACAATCACCCAACCCTTTGACATCAAAGTCCTTCATCCTAGTCGACAACCAAGAGGTACGTGATAGTGAAGTGGATGTTGGTAATCCATGCAATTATTTTAGCATCCATACAGTATACATTCTTCTCTTTAGAGACTCATAATCAGAATTGATTATGGCCTTGTAATTATCAAGGGGAACCTGGCTTATGATTCTTATATTTTAGTTATATCAAAGTAAAATTTTATGCTTTTAAAAACTATTTTCTGTAAAGAAATATTTCCTTTTTAAGAGCAGAGATGGCTATTCCATGTAAAGGATCTGTGATTAAGGTGGATTTTTTGTTTAAATTGTTAGCATGAATTTACCTTCTAGCTGAAGCTTGAGATTTTTTAGCTGCTTTTGAAGTATGTTCATTTGGTTTAACTTTATTATTTATAATTTTCTATTAAGTTTGAAGAGTTTATATATTTAGTTTTATGTTGTTTACAGATACCGAGAATCCATGCAAAAATAATAATGGAGGATGTTCTCATTTATGCCTATTAAGTTTTAACGGTACACATCAATGTAACTGCCCTCACATCATGAGTCTTGGTGCGGACAACAAGACCTGCATACGTAAGTAACGGAATTTCATTATAGAAATCTTAGAAGGATTTGTCTATTACTGCGGATAGAATTTATGATATGTGGCATATATTTCCGATAACATGTTCATACTTTGGTCTCTGATTTTTGTCTATTTTTTTCTAATAGATCCTTTCACTGTGTTTTGCAGGTAATGAAAAAGTGCTTCTGTTCTCTCGTCCCAATGAAATCAGAGGAGTAGACCTAGATAAACCGCTGCTAGATATAATTCCTCGTATCTCCTTGCCAAAAGTTCGGCATGCTACTCAGGTAGAATTTGATGCTGAGAGCAAAATGATATACTGGGCTGACAGGACCATGAATGAAGTCAAGAGAGCCAGTTTATCTGGAGTCCCTATTGAAACAGTAATTGACACTGCACTGGAATCGCCAAAAGGTTTTGCAGTGGACTGGCTCTCCAAGAACTTGTTCATCACAACTGAAACACGTAATTTAAAGCAAATCAAAGTTGCATCTTTGAATGGGGAATTTTTGATGCCAATTATATCCAAGGGCCTGTCTGATCCTGTATCTCTTGCAGTAGACCCTTCACAGGGAAAAATATTTTGGGCTGATGTTGGTGGCAATCACACAGTGAACATGGCAACGATGACTGGTGAGGATATTACCGTGTTATCATCACAGGCTCAAAATGAAAAATTATCAGATCCCCAAAGCCTTATGTATGACCCTCCTAGTCAACGTTTATATTGGGTCAATGCTGGATCTTACAGCATTCAATACTATGATTTTGTGAGTGAAAGTGTACAAGATTTATTAGTTGGTGGAAATGATACCATGCCAGAAGCACTAACTGTATATTTAGATCATGTTTTTTATGGAAATGCTGCTGACAATAGCATCTACAAAGTGAATAAAAATAATGGAGAAGATCCAGAAGTAATACACTCTGGTCTTGGGAACTTTTATTCTCTGAAAATATACGATGAATCTATTCAAGATGGTAGCAATGCTTGTTCCCAGGATAGCCGACCATGTGCACATCTGTGCTTGCCAAAGAATCGTGTAGAGAGAGAGTGCCGTTGTGCTGTGGGATTTAAAGTAGATGAGAGAGATCCAACAGAGTGCATTGGAGTAGAAGGTATACTTATATATTCAAAGAATGTTGGTCTTCGTGGTCTAGATGTTAACAATCCAGTCACAGAGTTGGGAACAAGCCCTGAACTATTAACACCTATATCTGATATTGGCATGGCAACTCACTTAGATTTCCATGCCATTCAGGATTTACTGGTGTGGGCTGATGATGATCAGGGCACAATTACAAGCATTCATCGCAATGGAACAAACAGACATGTGATAGTGGAAGATGCAGAAGCGATACAAGGTATTGCAGTTGACTGGGTTGCTAACAATTTGTACTGGACAAACCCACAGCTGAATGTAATAGAGATGTGTCGTCTAAATGGCTCAGACCACTTTGTAATAATTGCAAATGATTTGGAGAAACCAGGAGCCATTGCTGTTCATCCTGGCAGAGGTTACATGTTCTGGGCTGACACAGGTGACAAGGTCAAAATTGAACGGTCCAATCTAGATGGTTCAAACCGGACAGTTCTGGTGAATACCTCACTTCAATTTCCTGCTGATTTGGTCGTGGACTACGAGGAATCTCATCTGTACTGGGTAGACCAGAGAGCCAAAACTATTGAGAGAGTGGATTTGGATGGATCTAACAGGAAGTTAATCCTTGACAGTGATACACTTGAAGTTCCTGTGGCTACATTTATATTTGACAGAAATATCTATTGGGCAGACATGTAAGAATCATGTATCCTGTTTTGTAATAACAGTTCTGCATAGTAACTACCACATGCATAAATGTCTTACTTGTTGTGCTATTTTGATTAGTATTGCATATTATACATCATAGTTATGTATCAAAGACAGCAAAAACTATAATTAACTTGCAACATACTCATAACTTCATAATTATTTTCCATTTTCACAGGGTTTATGGCGGTGGATCCATCAGGAGTGCTCCAATAGAAAACTTGAGCCGCTTGTTAACATTAAGGGACAGCTTGGGTGATACTGTAAAGGATCTGATAGTGATGAGCCTGGATGTGCAGAAGGGAATCAACCCTTGTGCCAATAATAATGGAGGCTGTGCAGAGATCTGTCTCTTCACAGGAGAGCGGGTCAAGTGCCAGTGTTACCATGCACGCATAGATGAAGATGGGAAGAGTTGCAAAGGTAAGATATCTTTGAGGTTGGATGAAATAATTATTTCATAGATTCTGTTGATAATACACTTTTCTAGTCATCAAGGAAGACTTATTGTCTTTATATTTTTTTTGTCTTTACAGAATATGATGCATTCCTGATGTTCTCCAGCATTACAAGTATTGACAGCATCCACATGTTTGATGAGAATAACCCAAATGCTCCACTGAAGAAGATTACGTCTGATTTCATGAAAAATGCCATCAGTCTCACCTTTGATTATGCCGAGAAGCGTCTCTTTTACTCTGACATTCAGAGGGGAAGCATCAACAGTGTTTACTTTAATGGAACTGGGCATTCTATACTAATTGATAGTGAGTACTCTTGCCTTGTAACAATTTCATATGCAAAATGATCATCATTGAATTATTTCATGTGTACTGCATTGCTACACAGGGAGAAATTATTCCTTTTGATATGTACAGTGTAACAAAAATTATCCTATTATAATCCTGTTCTCTATATGAAGGCTAATGTCAGTATTTCATTTTGGATTAAAACACTCACAGGTAATTGTTTTTGCAAGAATGATGAGAGGTATTTGAACTTTGTTTTAGGACAGGGATCTGTGGAAGGACTTGCATTTGAAGAGAAAGAGAGAGACCTGTACTGGACTTGTCAGAGTGATGCCAGTATTAACCGAATGAGCATTGATCCCTTTAGAACACAGCGAGTAGAAAAGATTGTACATCTTGACCCGGGAGACAAGCCTCGTGGCATTGCTGTTGATAGCTGCGATCTGTAAGTATCATTTCAATTACAGTGATCGGTTACTGATCAGTAGTTCTTGTGTGCACTGGAGATTTTTGTTTTGCATCATAAATTTTCCATGTTTTCTTTATAGAATTTGAGAGGAAGGTTGGAAGTTTATATTTGATGGGCAGATGAAGGATATACATATTTGTAATTGTCACTAATGCAAAGCATGAAAAGTGAGTGTTTTGCTTTTTAGTGTGCTTAAGTGCACTAGCTGAATATAAACTAGTTTTTACAAGGAAGATTGATAGGAGGAACCAAATGTATTTTTTATGTACTGGACAAATTAGATAGGAACAACATTTTTCTAGTGCTTTTGATGGTAAAAACTAGGTGTAAATCATTCTTTTGCATGACTGATTTTGTAAATAGGCAGTAAAGTGATTTTCTCCCCTTCTTTTCAGACTTATTTACTGGACAAACTGGAACTCAGAAGCCCCTTCCATCCAGCGGTCCTTGGTCAGTGGCATTCGAGTGGAATCCATTATTACGACCCAAATCCGGATGCCCAATGGCCTTGCAATTGACCACAAAGCCCAGAAGCTGTATTGGGGTGATGCCCGCCTGGATAAGATAGAGAGATGCAATCTGGATGGATCGGATAGAGTGGTAGGTATTTCTTGTTTGTAAGGAATGATGATCTTTATGAACTTTTGATAGTAAATCCCAACTGTACTTCTCTGGGCTTAGCCTAAGGCAATTTAAATGGTGATATGTTTGTATGATAATATTGAAGACATTTCTAAGACAGTCATACACCACCATTCATCATTACATGGCAAAAAAAAGGAGGTCTAATTAAAGAACACTTTAGGTCTTTCTTGGTTTTGATTTTCAGAGAGAGCACCTAGGTCTGGTAAGGAGAACCTGGGCTGAAGTCACTTTATCATTATTCATACGAAGCTTGTGGTTAACTTGTTTGTAATAATGGCTTTCATTTTTTTCACAGATTCTGTTGAAAAATGTTCCAAGTCATCCATTTGATTTGGCCATATATGGAGACTATTTATTCTGGACTGACTGGGTGCTGCATGCTGTTGTACGAGCCAATAAGTATACAGCTGAGGATGTTGTTAAGCTTCGAACAGGAGTTACAAGACTAATGGGCATTGTTGCTGTTGCCAATGATACCAATGACTGTAAGCATCATTATCATCATATTTGTTATCTTTGCTGTCTTTGTTCTTACCATCCAAATGATATATTTTTGAGAGTATGGCTCAAAATTTTTTATGAAAAGTCAAGCATCTTGACATAGAACTGATCGAACTAAATTTTATTGCACAACTATTTTATCTACTTACATAAGATGGCAGTATTTTATTTGAGATTCTATAGACTCTGAATACCACACAGGTGATGGAAGTCCTTGTAGAGTCCTGAATGGTGGCTGTGAAGATATCTGCACCCTAGACGAACGTGCCCAGGTTGTATGCCGCTGCTCTCCAGGCAGGATGCTCCTAGCGGATGGCCGTCGCTGTGCTGTTCGCATGGCCAATTGCCCAGAAGATCAGTTTGAATGCAGCTCAGGGTTCTGCATACCCTATAGTTATTCATGTGATGGTGTAGCCGAGTGTCCAGATGGATCTGATGAAGATGAGAAGTACTGTGGTAAGTGAATTAAACTTTTGTTGTCGCTCTTGTTTTCACATTTTTATTTACTATGCTTTTGTAGAAAAAATAATTCCCAAATGTATACAAGCCCAAACTTTTTTCTTCTCAGTCAGCCGCACATGCAGGGATGGGTACTTCTCATGCGGAAATGGACCTTGTGTCCCTCTGCAGAGTGTCTGTGACAGACATCCAAATTGCCCCAACTTTCAAGATGAGAAAAACTGTACCTGCACTGAGGATGAGATTCGATGCGAGTCATCTGGACTATGTATTGCGGCAGATTTGAAGTGCGACCACGATCCCGACTGCCCCGATGCCAGTGATGAAATGGGATGTGGTAAGTGGGATATAGTAATAAGATGGACAGACTTCCTAATATTAATAATGATGGAGAAAAGTTTGAGAGACAGACAGACAGACAGAAATGCATGTACATGAGTGTGTGAATGAGACATTTTGAAACATTTTTAGATTAATCTGGACCACTAATAAGTGTACAATTATATAGAGAGACATATAGACAGGTAGGTAGTTAAGTAGAGTAAACTTTTTACTTTGAATGAGAATATTCACTGCATTTATAGACTCAAAAAATAAATAAAATAATAAATAAATAAATAAAAAGATAGAAATACCTTCCTCTGTTTCTAAGATATTGGATTTATTAAATTTTCAGAGCAACCTGACTGTAGCAAGTTCTTATGGGAAGGATTTGATAGCTCGGAATTAATCAACTGCCCA